TAAAGTCGGATCGCTTGGGATTTGTTTTGGAACTCAATTATTAGTTTTCACATAATGATTGGTCCTACCTATTATTAAAAAATGGAATTTTATCAAGAATTTAGTTCATCTTTTAATTAGTACAATTATGAAAGATACAGTCGCATTTCTTGTAAATCCAAAGCAAACCACAAGATGCGATTGAATGGATGATTCAGAAAGTTGTGTATAGAACCAGAGAACAGAAACAATTGTTTGAAAATCAAAAATATCATCCAAGGATTTGAAGAAATTGAGAATATTGTCATGAATCTAAGGCACAAACAAAATTATAGGATAGATGCATTCTTTAATGTTTGATTATATATTTTTACATCAAAAAGGCCTTAACAATCTCTCATTATCATTAAAATACTATATTTTTCAAAAATTGAGTTTGGTTTTTTTTTAAAAATAAAATAAATGCTCAATCACATGTTACAATAAAAGGATCGAGACCATATATTGATAAACAAGAACTAACTTTCTTTTTAACCAGTGATAATTCATCAAGCTAACTTATAATGGCAGATAACATATCATCCGATTTGGCTTTTTGGATCCTTTTTTCAAACCTTATATCTTATTGCGTCTCGACGTTAAACATGTTAAACATGATAAACTGGTCAATAGAATGACAATTAACCCCCAAAAAATTAATTTGCTCCGTTAAAAAAATTATTCAATAGCCCGTCAAACCAATGGCTCCACCTCAAAACCAATGGGTTTTTGCTAGTATAAAGTATTCATAACGTTATGATCATACTGTACCGAATTTTGAGGTTCAAACAAAATCGGCGCATATGATTAAATCAACCATTAATAATAAACGAAGAAAATATAATAATAAATTAATTAACATTATATTTATTATTTTAATTTTTACCAATTATTTGAAATACTTCCAATTCATCATATTTACTACCATGTACTAAATTGATGTTATTATAAGTTTCTGGTACACTGTAAATACTACCATCTACGTAAAAACAAAGATCAGTACCATCCCTTCCAAAAACAGCTAAATTATCAGGATAACAATAAACTGCATGATCATAATTTTTAATAACATAACTAAATTTTGCAGTGTTTATATCATTTTTATTACTCAAATTAAATATAAAACTTCCAACTGTGTTTTTGTTCTTACAACATCCACTCCAATTTAATGGATTATATCCACCAAATATTTGATCAGAACTTTGTATTTTAGCAACTACAAGAGTTTTGTTGATATTATCACATTTTTGATGAAATATGCCATGATTTAAACCATCTCTACTACTATGATATAAAAGCCTAAATTCATATTTGACTTCCTTAAGTGAATTATATGGTGGACTTTTTTTGTCAATCCAACTTGCAAAAAGCAATGTAATGTTTTCATTGATTGTTGTTGATTCAAGTTTTGGAATTCTTGAGGGTAATAAATTCAAAGTAGGTTGTTCATCTGGAAATAAATAATAATGTGAAATATCTTTCCATAAAATCAAAGGAAAAAGCATATGATATGGCATAATCTTATTAAAAAAGTCCTTTTTAGAAATATCATGGAATCTAATTAAAGGAAGGAATTCTTTCAATGTGTTGCCTAAATCAGCAAAATTTTGTGATGACCAATCTTCAACATTGATATTATTGATTTCTGGATGTTTTGCTACTCCCCACTTAAGAATGTTTTCCCAAATAACCATCTCATCAACAGAAAAATCATCTCTCTTGAGAATTTCCAATATAATTGGCTTTTCCAATGATTTAAATTCACTTGATTCAAATAATTTTTCACTATATTTACAAAACTCTTTTAAATAAATATTTTTCAATTCCTTAAATTTTTCATTAGCATAAATCAATTGTAGAATTTTAAATGGATTTTCTTTTATATAATCTTTATGATTTTCAATTAAGTAATTCATCATATATTCATAAAGTGATTCAATACCAAGTTCATCTGCTGCAATTAATAGTTCTAATACTTCAGCCCCAGAATAATTTTCAAATTCAATTTTACATGTGTATAAAAATCTAAATAAATTATTTTTTTATTATTATTAATTATATATTCAATAATAATAATAATAACAAATAAATTAATAAATAATACTTACTTGAGAATAGGGTTGAAAAGTTTTTCACTGATATTAGCTTTTTTAATAATATAATATCCATTTTCTTTTGTTGCATTACTCAATGTGTTGCTAAAAAATGGACAATGAGCTGATATGATAGATGCATGTGCATGAACTTCTTTAATGTTTGGTTCTACACCAACATATATTTTTACATCATAAAAATCTTCAGTGTTTAACAATCTTTCATTTTCATTAAAATATTTTTCAAATATTGAATTCATTTTCTTTTTTCAAAAAAAATTATTTAATGAAGATCGCCAATTGGCCAATCGCATGTTAATTATAATTAGTAATAGTAAGGATTTATAAATGATTAAATAACTATATAACAACCTTGATTCAAATAATTAATATAAAGTCATAAATTTATAAGGCAATATTATTCGTCAAATTTAAAAGTTTAGAAAACTATTTTATTATAAACTTATCATAAACGGTAATAGGTAAAAAAGGAAACTAAGAAAAGAACTATATAGTTGCAAACGAAAAGCAGTATAAAAAAATACAATTTAACCTATCATTATTTGCCTTTAATCAATTGCCATTATCCGGAAAAAAACTTAGTAGCTCAGCTATTAGATCTTTGCCACTTCCTTGTCCAGAAACAAAAGCAATAGCAAGGCCTTTGTGAACTATGTTTCAATCGTTTTCCGTAATATCTACGGTAATTAGAACAAGAAAAATGCCAACTCTTCAAGTTGAGCAACCTTTATGGTAACTCGTGACCATTACTGCTCGGTCTTCCTTGGAGTGTGCTATTAGGTTGTTATACGTGAATAATACGACTGTTTTATTTGCGCATCCTTCTACTGGATAGACCATTTTAAAATTATAAACTTTCCACCCATTTTTTATAATAATTTAATTATTTACGACCCAACAAAATTTGATAATTTATAGAATACAATGATTATATATAATAATGTTGTGAATTGCGCGATTTCATATAATTTTGAACTTTTCAGGAAAGCTTTCAAGTTTTCACAATTTAACTTGAATTTGATTTTTGATTTTTGTAGTTTATCGAATATTTAATTCATCAAATCTACTTGTATAAGTTTCTGGTTTACCATAAACACTACCATCTACTCAAACCAAATATCGTAGCCATGACCAAACCAAGTATTACAGTGTTGAAATTTCGTTGTGTAACTAGTACAAATTTAGAAACTATCTCCAAAAATTAAAATTTTGATTGGTGTGTAATGTTACACCCCCCGCATTCCCCGCATCGAATTTTCAACACTGATTACAAATCGAATGGTGATCTTTACTATTAATAGCATAACTAATAATAACCACTAACTATTTGCTCTGAAGTTTTTAATTTGACAACCAAACATTTTTGATCAAGTTTACTACTCTGATATATAAGTTTAATTTATATTTGACCTTATTGAGTGAAGTATATGGTAGATTTTTTCTGTCAATTCAACTTGCAAAAGGTAAAGTAACCGACCGACCGTTCCATTTATAATTATTAATCTAGATAACTGATATCTTGTCTTGATAAATTTAAATTTAAAATAAGTTGATCATCTGGAATAAGAATGGTTGACTAGATTCATATTTATCTCCAAGGATCTTTTGACGAAATTGACGAAATTAATTTAGCCGATCAAATAAAAGATACTTGCGATGCTTGCAGATCACTAAATAATAAATTTTAGTCCTATACATATATTAATTGTTTTTATATTAATTGTATTATACATGGCATTTTATATAGCAATTCAATATGTAGGGTAACGTTGGGTATTTACCATGGTGATTATTCTCAATTCTTTCTGATCGTGATGACAAGACAAAGGGTTCCGAATCTAAATCATTATTTTGGTGACGTTATTATACTGATATACTACTTTTTTTAAAACTCTTGTCCGTTTTTTTGATAGTTTGTAATTACATAGTAATTCAACAAAGAGTAAAAAGTGGAAATTAATTATTAAAAAAGTAGGATATAAAATCAATATTTAGCCATACCTTTGATCATTGGTTATGAAAATTTGGTCGGTTTAATTGGTCAATTTCATCAATTTCGTCAATTTCGTCACATTTCGTCACATTTCGTCACATAATTCCCCGCCCTGCAAAGTATTTCGTCAACCATTCTTAATCTGGAAATAAATAAGATTGTTGTGAAAAAGCATGATATTATTCATAAATCCAAATCGCAAACTTTTAACTGTATTTTTCTTTTTTTCGATGTCATCCATCGTAATGTTATTTTTTTATTAAAATAAACAATTCCATCATTATTTTGTTTTAAAATAAATTAATTGATTAAATTAATTGATTTTTTTTTTTAATGAATAATTAGTTTTTACAATTATTGAATATGGGTGTGCAAGTAACTCTTTAAGATTGGGAGTCACAAAATGAATAATAAACCGTTAATCAATCATGTACAATTTTAAGATGTGAATTTATTTATTAATTTAAAAAAATATTTAACATATTTAACATAAATCATGTGTAAAAAAAATAAATTAATAATTATATTTTTTTTAATACATTAAAAAACATAATTGTAAATTATGAAGCTTAAAAAAATTTTTTTAACGCAAAATGAAAAAAAATTCATAATTAATAAAAAAACAATGCAAATTTTATAAATTTTATATTATAGTTGGTGATGATTTCAATCAATTTTCAGTTTATTATAATTTCAAACGTTTTAAATTTATCAACAAAACAAACTACAACTTGATCCAAATCTCAATCAATCATATATACAATTTCAATCCTAACTTCGATCTCGATTTCCAACTAATTTCATTTCCCAAATACAAAATTATCACACAAATTATCTAGTATTTCAACAATTGCAGACTCTCAGACAATTATTAATCAAGTTGAGAAGGCATTCTGTGTTATTACTTTCCAAAATTCGTTGAACAAACCACCACGGAAAACCACAAACATCACCATATAATATAGCACGCCAGTTACTCTACGTGATATGAATCTGTACAGTAATCTTTCAAAATAAATTTTGAGAGTTTTATGTATTCGAGTTAATTTATACAATCTTGATTTTGGTATTGATAGACCAGTTGTGGCGGTGGTGGCAGTTGTAGAAATTGGCGAATCTGAATATGAACTTAAATTTTTAGTGTTGGTAGGTGAAGAAACCAAAGATGTGGAAATCTCATGATTTAGTATTGATGAAGAAGAATTATTTTGTCCTCCATCTCTTTCCTCCTCGTCATCTTCTTCATTCTCCTCATATTGATGAGGAAAAGGATAATGATCATTAATGATATTATTGCTGTTATTTTGGAGATGACGATTATGAGAAAGATAATCAATTTGGAAATTGACATGTAGATCACTACTATTATTATTATTATTATTATTATTATTAATGGAATTATTGATGTTGCTATTATTGTGATGATTACCATTTGATAAATGATTAGTGAGGATTGGTTTAATTGGTTTTGGTGAAACTATACCATTGTTGTTAGTGTTAGTAGGAGTTAATGGTTGTAAAGGAATTACACGAGGTGATTTTGGAGTCATCTTTAACCAATTTGGAACATGATTATTATTACTATTAGCATTATTATTATTGATAGTGTTGTTGTTGTTGTTGTTATTAGTAATGTCAATATGATTAATATGATTATTATGATTATGATTATAATGGTGATTTATTACTCCAGGACTTGGAGGTCTGCTTGAAGGTCTGCTAGATGGCCTACTGGGTGATCTACTGGAAGACGATGAACGATGCTTGAATGGCGGACGAATATTTATAACAGAAGGAGACATATTATTGTTATTATCGCCAATGGGTGTTGTTGGTCTACTTGAATAAGGAGTGGAGTAAGGCGTGAAGAATACTTCATGGGATGAATCGAATGAAGTAACCCTGTACAAAGATTTTGGCATCGATAATACAGAGGAAGGTTTGCCGTATAATTGATAAATATCGTAATTCTTTAAGTTGTATTGATAGTCATCATTCCCGCCATGTTCCAACAACAAATCGTCATCATCAAAATAATCCAGCAATTCTTTGTTTGACGAAGGGAAAAATATGCGACTCAACGATTCTTCGGGTAAGATTCTTTTGAATATCTGCCATATTCCGGAATACATCCAGCCATAATTCAAGACAAATATCGAACCTATATAACCAGGAAAATGATGTCTCGCGAGATCAACCGCAAATGGGATCAATTCCATATCCAAAGTTGAAACACCTGCACCTTTCAAATCCAATAGCATGACATACTGTAATATCATGCTATCTTTTTTCGACGAAGAATTTCTTTTATCCAATAATAATCTTCTGCAAATTTCAACATTGAATATAATGAATTTCTTTATATCATCGATTGTCACAGGTGGTAACAACATGTAATCGTCATCATTTTGTTGTTGATTGCTGCTGTTTTTTTTGATTGGTTGATCTTTTTTTGTGTATTCTCTGAGATTAAGGATTGCACAGGGACGATTGAATTTATCAGTTTTATGAAAATAGAATAAACCAATCTCAAGTAAAGATGGATGAATATCATTAATTGAAATATTGTCAACCTTATTTTCTATCCTCCATCTAAGATTATTTTCTAAAGCTTTACAGGCAATCTCAAAATCAAATCCAGCCCTTTTAAGAAAATTAAATATATTTTCTAATGATGATTTTTGAGGAGGAAAAAAAAAAAAAAGAAAATTAAAATTCCGATTTTAATTTTATTTATTAAAAATAAACAATTTAACGTGCACAGTTTTCAAGTTACCTTTATCGTCTATATATTTTCTTGACCTTTCAAATGTAATGAAATCTAGCTTTAATTCCTGATTCAATTCATTTAAATAATTAAATATCGATGTTTGTAAATCGTCCACTATAGATTCATATTGTTTGTATAAAGCAGTCAATTGAATGATTTTCTCTTTAACTAAATTACAACTCATTATTACTAATTTATTATTATTATTATGATTAATTAAATGTCTCTAATTACAATGATTTTATTATTTTTGATGATATATTCACAAATCTTGTGTAAAAAAATATATATATATATATATATATTTGGAAGTGTATATATATATAAGTGTAAATATGTAAAAATTATATATATATATAAGCGTGTATATGTAAAAGTGTAAAAGTGTATATTATATTACTATTTATAGTGATTTTTTTTTATAATTATATCAATTAACTGAATAATCAATATATTAAAAGAAACAAACGGATAACTTTAATTGTAAGTTTTGATGATGATGACGAAGAAGATTAATATTTTTTTATTTATTATTTCGGAAAAAAAATTGAAAAAAAAAAAAAATAGGATTTTATATCTATATTTATATATTAATTTTAATTTATATTATTAATTAAAAAAATTTATTTTATTATTAAAGTTAGAAGAGAGATAAAAAAATAAAAAAAAAATTTTGATGCTTCTCTTTAATACATATTTCGTGATACATTTTTTCTTGTACGTCATTCGAATAATCATTTTAATAATAAATAGTAACTATTTTATTTATATCAGTTACTAAAAATTTCAACTTGAAAAAAATATTTTTACATAATGAATTAGTATAAAAATAATATTATATATTATGTATTGTAATATGTCATGCAAATTTTGTAAGAGTCACCAGACCAAAAATAAATAATCCTTTTTTTTTTTAAAATATTAAATTCACATTCTTTTTTTTTATATGTTTTACTCTATTTAAGCCACTTGAACTTTCTGGTAAATTTGATGTTACATGATATCACAATACTTTCTAATATTAACAAATTGGTTATGCCTTTGAAGTTTTCGTTTTTTCATTTATTATTTTTTTTTCAATTCTCGATATTAAAAATGATATTTAATTATTTTTTTTAACTAAAAAGAAAATAAAAATTATCTGATATCAAAACAATAAAAAATCAAATCAAATCTAAAATCAATCAATAAATAAATCAATCTTTTGTCAACAAATTAAAAAATAACACATCAATAAAATTAAAATTATCAATCATCTCATTGATTTGATCATCAATCATTATTATCATTCATTATTATAAATATATTATTATTATTATTATAATTAACTTTCAACTATCAACTAGATTCGCATTATCAAATCCGGCACATAAACAATGATCCGTTTGCTTTATCTCCTCCATTTTTTATTTATTTATTTATTTATTTATTTATACATCATTATACATTCTACGTTTTTTTGTATTCCCAATTTACTAATTAAATAATGATTAACGATAGCTGGCTAGTTAATTATGGTCACAAGACATTGACTTATAGTTAGACTGTCTGCTAATTAGACTATCAATCATGGTTTCAAATATATCAAAATTAGGCTTTAAATTTACTACGACATTACATCACCATTACTATTACATTGATTAAAAGAATGCATCATCGTTGAAAATGAGTTATTGTCTGAATGAATTACTTTACTTGGCTTGACAGTTGTTTTTTTTTTTTTTTGACAAATCAAAAAAAAAATGACTAATAATAAAAAAAATTAAAAAAATTTAAAATTTTTCATAGAACTCATTTTTGGATTTGGCTATTTGTCTTGTGAGATCAGGGCGCTTTGAACACGTGCGTGTGAGTCTGCATGATAATCAGGTAATTGACTATCAATTATGATTGGTTGATTCGGAATCGTGCAAATACGTTTAATCCGATGCACACGATTCGCTCAGGTGACTAAAGTTAAAAAATGAGTGTGTGCGAGTGATGGTTATTATTTACTCTATGAAATCTACGAAAAAAAAAAAATATCCAGAAACTTTTTAGAATCCCATTTAGGTTATTATTATTAATATAAGTTAATATAGGTTGTTATTATAACAATCAACCTTGTTAGACAATGTCAATGTTAATTATTCCATTAGTAGAATATTTATCAATGATCACTACTACCCGTGTCTTTCTTTATGTTTCTTTGTATAGAATTTTCATTGCCTCCCTCTTACTTTGGATACCGTCACTCCATGTCTATGTATATTTTACTCTCTCTCCCTCTTCATGTTTTATACAATATTACAATAATAATAAATAAAATTGACTCCACAAAAATTGGTTGTCATGACGATAATAATAATAATAATAATAATAATAATAATAATAATAATAATAATAATAATAATAATAATAATGTTTTGATAAGGGTGAGTTGTTGATTGATCAAATGGTCGATCTTCTTCTTGCTAGGTTTTTTATCCCATGGTTTAAAGTAATAATAATTCTTGACGCAAACATTCTCTAAATCGAATATCGTTTTTTAGCAGGATGCTTTCCTTTGAGAATTTTTCTTTGTCTAAAGGAAATTTTTTTTCGTCTTTTATCTCATGTTACATGCATCAATCAATGTTGTGTGACGAAAAATTTTGCAAAGCTTGTTTTTTTTTTGGTTGTTTTTCGTTTCGCGTGTGATTGTTTGATTGATTCAAAAATAGATTATGGTTAGGGAATTAACGAGACAATAATGCCCTGTCAGTCAGCCAGCAGAAGATTCCTTGGGAGGAGAAAGTCAAATCTTGTTTGTTAAGGAATTGTGATTAATTCAAATCCTCGAATGTGCGTGTTATCAATTAATTAATGCTATTTCTAGCAATTCTGTTATATTTATTGTTTTACTTGCAAATCTGTAACACAAAAAAAACTAACAATGATAGAGAACCACTATGGTTAGTAATCAAAAAAAAAAAAAAAACCAGTTTTTTAAAACTTAAAATTAATTTTTTTTGGGAACTTTCAAAAAAATGGATTCCGCCGCTTATCTTTCAGAACAAGAAAGTGAAAATGAAAATTTTGTAGATGCTGAGGAAATTGTCGATGTCGACACTCAGAAAACAACTCATAATACTGTCGACAATAATAATAACTCCTCATCTGCTTCCTCCTCCTCCTCCTTAAATGGAATAGTTTCCAAATTAGCAGCTTCATTACAAATAGAAGAGAAAAAACAAGTAAAAGAAGAAATAAAAAATTCAAATAATGATCATAATAATTCATCAATGATTCCAGAAATTTCTGTTACTGATACGTCTGAAAATAACAAATCAAAATCAAATGATATTAAAAATGATAATGATATTTTATCAAAAATGGAAAGTGATATTGGTGCTAATTACAGTGCAGAAGAACAAGAATTAGATATTACTGTATATGTTAAAGACCTTGATACTGGTAGAAATGTTCCGATGTCAGATATTGAACAAGAGCTTAATAAATCAAAAGCAAACATTGACCCTTTATCTTTTCAAATAATGCAAAGGGCCGGTTCAGACAATGAATTTGAGAGTGATAATGATGACAATGATAATAGGTCTAGACGCGTAAGGAGCATTAGTAATAGTAGTAATAATAAATTTGATAACAATGATGAAAAAACGGCACACAAAGATACTAGCAAATCACTAAAGTATTTAACGATTAATATTAATGTTCTTGTGTTGTTATTGTTGTTGTTCTATTTCATTTCTCACATCATCTCATCTCATCTCACATCACATTACATCTATAAATTAACCAATTAATAATTAATTAGAAGACCAACATCTTTTTTGGACCGATTGAAAAGACGTCCTTCACACCAAGGAAGAGATGGAAGTGGCGAGGCAAAAGATGATGAAAAAGATGAAGTTAAAATAACTGGTAATAACGCTGAAATATTTTCCGAGACAACTAATGATTTTGGAAGACAAACTAGGCCTCAATATATTAAGGTAGGTTTTTGTACATTATATTTTTTAATTTTATAAAATTAATTAATTAATTAATTAATTAATCGATCGATCGATTAAATCATCTATTAATATTATTAATTTATTATTACTATCAAAAAACCCCCCACCCTCATGAGATAGGCTAAAATACGTAATAAACATACAAGAGAGTTCGATCATTTATTTTTGGCCCAAGAATTATCAAGTCCAAAGCCTTCAACTGAATGTGATGTTGATAATAATAATAATAATAATAATAGTAATGATAATAATAATAATAATAATAATAATAATAATAATAATCATAATAATAATAATAATAATAATAATAATAATGAAAATGAAAAATCAAAAGGTGGTGCAATATGGACAATGAGTTTTAGTAAAGATGGAAAATTTTTGGCTACAGGAGGTCAAGATACTGTGGTTAGAGTGTGGGCTGTAATATCAAGCGATGAGGAACGTGAGTACTTCCTGGGAAGAAATGGCAAAAAGAATGCTTTTGATGATGTCAGTGGTACTAAACTTGGCGCTCCCGTGTTTCGTGAAAAGCCATTATACGAGTATACCGGTCATACTGCTGATTTATTGGATTTAAGTTGGAGCAAAAATAATTTCTTGCTCTCCTCGTCAATGGACAAAACTGTTAGATTATGGCATATAACAAGGAAAGAATGTTTATGCTGCTTCCAACACACTGATTTCGTTACCTCGATTGCTTTCCATCCAAAGGTTTTCATTATTTTCAAAAAAATAAAAAATAAAAAATATTACTTTTTTGAAAAATAATTAAAAATATTAATATTAACCCTCAAAATAACCTGTTCAAATAATGTGCTAATTTAGGATGATAGATTCTTTCTTTCGGGATCTTTAGATTGTAAACTTCGATTATGGAATATTTCTGAGAAGAGAGTTGCACATTGGCATGAATTGACCGACTCACAATTGATTACTTCTGTCGGCTTTACTTTGGACGGGAAATTTTCAGTCGTAGGAACACTTAAAGGTCTTTGTTTATTCTATGAAACTGATGGGCTACGCTATCATACTCAAATTCATGTAAAAAGTTCTCATGGCAGAAATTCTCAGGGCAAAAAAATAACAGGTATAGAACCATTTCCCGGTACTCCTGCTGGTCAAGAGAAGGTAAAAATATTTTCTGGTGAATCTAATCAATTTATCCATTAATTTACCCAACCAATTAATATAAATCCAATTGACAATTTCCATAAATTATTTTAGTTACTGATATCGTCAAATGATTCAAGGATACGATTGTATAATATGCGAGATAAATCACTGGAATGTAAATACAAAGGAATGGAAAATACTTGTGGCCAGATAAGTGCAACATTTAGTGATGATGGTCGTTATATTATTACTGGATCGGAGGATCGTCATGTCTACATATTTAACGCTGACCAAGCGTCAATCAATTCGTCGCATTATGGATCAAGTAGCAGTGGTAACAGTTGGCTTAAAAAAGGAAAAACAGCTTACGAGAGTTTTGAAGGTATTTATTTATTCATTTGTTAATTAATCGATTGCTATAAATATATCATGCTATTTTTATTTACATCATCATAATATAATATATTATTGTATCAGCACATCCTGCAGTAGTAACAACTGCAATATTTGCACCAACTCGTACCAAACAATTAATTGCACATGGTGGCGACCCGATATATTCAAATACAATCAATCATGATACATGCATCGTTTCTGATAAATTTACTTACCCTGATGGGAACATTATAGTTTCAGCTGATAATACTGGTCGTATAAAGATATTCCGTCAAGATTGTGCCTATTATCATTCTCACGACAACGACAGTTCGTCAATTCTAAGTACCAGGTAATTGACTAAATACATTTGCTTGTGTGAATAACTGCACTTTCCAACATTCGACCATTTCTAAACTCCAAATTATTATAATTTTTATATATAGATCTTGGAATTCAAATCTTAGTAGCATTAATAGTTTATTTAGTAAACCTATAAATTTTCCTAACAGACTAAGAAGAAAAAGTGATGCATCAAGTTTATATTCTGGAAATTCAAGTATAGTGAGTATGGATGGACCAACTACGCCAATCACGCCGGCTACACCAGCCACACCAATAACCAATAATAATAATAGTAGTAGTAGTAATGTTGCTGGTGAAAGAGGTTCGCAAGACTCGGGTGGTCAGTGATTTCAATGCGAGTGTGGATTTGCAGAATGTAGAGCCTACCTTATAAAAAGATGATGGTTCACCCAAACTTGTTTGTGCCATTTGTCATAAACCTGCATAACAAATTTTTTTTTATTATTATTATAATATTAATAATATAAATGTATTATTACATATCTATTAAATCGCCTGTTTTCTTTACAATATTTATAAATATAAAGATCAAACTTTTACAATTCATTTTTTTTCTTTGAATTCTCAAAAAGAATTGATATATATTCTAATGCAAATTTGAAAAATTTTTTTTTTTTTTTGTAACGCGTTATTTTCAATAAATACATATATTTAATATTATAAAAGGAACCTTTATCTCAAAATATTTCACGTAATTTTTTCAGAATATTATTATTATTACTATTATAATTTCGATCATCGATATGTACGAATTTGTTGCGCCTCGACATGATTGTTTCATCAGGTGATTTATTTTTTCAATTAGGAAAAGTCATTCAACTTTTACAATGGATACTTGTGATTCTACCAAAGGAAATATAAATTTATCAGAATTTGATGGTATTGTACTTGGTGTGTTCAAGGACGGTACATTATGTCAAACTGTTAGTGGTTCAAACCAGCTTCCTGAAGACTTTCTACAAATAATCAAACAAAAACTCGAATATTCTGGATGCAGTAAAGGAAAGCTGGGCGAATGTAAAGTGTTACATGGAATAGATAAGTTTGATGCTGGTGCTGGTGATAACCTTCGTAAAAAAATAGCCATCGTTGGATTGGGTAAAAAAAGATATTTTAACACTTGTGTTAATGATCAAGAGTTAGCTGAAGTTTTAGAAATTGCTAGAAATGCGGTAACAACTACTACTTATCCGTTGTTCATAATCAAATAGTTTAATCAATCAATCGTTCACTTATTATTATTATCATTTTATTTGTACAAAAATGAACTTAGGCAGCTATTGGAGTTCGTAGCTTAAGAGAAAAGAATGCCAAAAATATTTTGGTTGATGTTATGACTAATGAACATGGTATTATGGTTTATTATTATTATTATATATAAAAAAATAATATTTATAATTAAAATCAACACTACTTACCATATAACACTACTTACTATATAATACTACTTACTATAACAACAACAACAACAACAACAAAATAATAGGTGCAGCTGAAGGTGCAGTGCTCGGTCTATATTATTATGATACTTTGAAATCGGCTAAAAATCAAAAATCACCAATAAAAATTACACCACTTGGATCAAAATCTACCTCCACTTCTACATCATATTCTTCTTCTCTTACCACTTCTTTCTTGCCATCATCATCATCAATCACCACTGCAACAACAGTTGGTGCTGCCAAAGATTTAACTTGGGAAACGGGAATACTTTATGCAGAAGCACAAAATTTTACGCGTACACTAATGGAAACGCCAGCAAATTATATGACTCCGACCAAATTTACCGAACATGTGAAATCTAAATTAACTGGTCTGCCTAATGTTGAAGTGATTATTAGGAATAAGGATTGGGTAGAAGGGAAGAAAATGGGATCTTTCTTGTCAGTGTCCAGAGGATCAGATGAACCGTTGAAATTTTTGGAGATTCATTACAAAGGTGGCAAGGAAGGTGATAAGCCATTGGCATTTGTTGGAAAAGGTGTAACATTTGATTCGGGTGGTATTTCATTGAAGCAACCCCTAGCAATGTTAGACATGAAAGCTGATATGGGTGGTGGTGCAGCAGTCGCGGCATCTGTGTATGGTATAGCAAAATTAAGACTGCCGATAAATTTGGTGGCCACAGTTCCGCTTTGTGAGAATATGCCATCAGGTCATGCAACCAAACCCGGCGATGTCGTTGTAGCAATGAATGGCAAGTCTATTGAAGTTATCAATACAGATGCAGAAGGTCGTCTTATTCTAGCTGATGCTCTGTACTATACCAGCTCAACATTCCTACCTCATACATTGATTGATGTGGCAACATTAACGGGTGCAATGTGTATAGCGTTAGACGAAGCTTATTCTGGTGTGTTTACTAATTCTAATGAAGTATGGGAACTGTTGTCGAACGCTGGTAAAACAACCAATGATAGATTTTGGCGCATGCCATTAGATGAACAATATAAAAAAAAATTGGTAAAGTCAAGCGTGGCTGATTTAATTAACTCTGCCGGTAAGCCAGGAGGATCGTGTATAGCAGCATCTTTCTTGAAAGAATTTGTTTATGGATTAAGTGAGGATTTGAATAAAACCGGTGAAGGGAGAGATGGCGAAGGTGAAGACGATGAGGGCGAAATGGACGGTGTTAGGATTAAAGATGCGAGTGAATTGAATTGTATTAAATATGCACATATTGATATTGCCGGTGTTATGTATACTACAACTGATCATGCTTACAATGTTGAAGGAATGAGTGGTAAGTTAAATATTCTTCTTTCAAAAAAAAAAATAATAATAATAATGAAAACGTGTTATCCTAATAAATATATATTTTATTTGTAATATAACATATTTATAGGTCGTCCAACTAGATCCATTATTGAATTTGCAAGAAACCTTGCTAAAATTAATTAAAATAAAATAAATAAATATGTTAATTTATCTGGAAACCTACCAAGGTCCATAATAAGAGCTAATCTATTTCTAAATTTTAATTATTATGTCAAAAACGTGATTTTTAGCATTAACCTAAAATTATACAATCAGAGATTATGAATTTTGATTGGCTGATTTATATCTCATCTTTTATTTGAACATTTTCTTGTTTTAAACATAAATGTCAGAAAGTCAATCAATAAATCCGTCAATAACAACTGCACCAGTAACGACACCACGTTCACCACGAATAGAAATAGAATTTTGTATTCAATGTCGTTGGTTGGATATTATTTAATTTTCTTTTTCTGTAACAATAGTAAGTTTTTTTTTTTTAATAAGAGATAATCATTATTTATTTATATTACTTTTAGGACACTTAGAGCGGGGTGGATGGCGCAAGAGTTATTTATTACATTTGGAAATGCTTTAGGTGAAGTTGCTTTAATACCTGGGATGAGTGCTGTGTTCAAAGTTACTATTGATGGAGGTAAAAGAATATTTATATCATTGCGATTGTAATTGTAGTTATTTTCAATAATGATTATATATTATTTTTTTCTTTGCAAAAAGAAATTATTTGGGATAGAAAAAAAGAAGGTAGATTTCCCGAGTTAAAGGAATTGGTGAGTAGCTTTATTTCCTTCCATCTGCATGTACAATCTTTCTATTATTATTATTATATATCACTCATTCACATTTCAATCCACGTTTCTTCTATTAAAGAAACAATTAATAAGAAATAAAATTGTTCCTGACATGAAACTTGGTCATAGTGATGCAAAAAAAGAAGAAGATAATAATAATCAAAATGCTACTAATGCTAGTGATGCTACCACTACCGCCACCGCCACCGCCACCGCCACTACCATTACTTCTGATAAGAAGACTGACAAAGAATGCAAAGATTGTAACGAATTAACAAATTAAATAAATCAAATAAATCAAATAAATGATATATTCTTAATATATTCTTTGAAAATGAGAATCAACGAAGAATTATTTATTATCCTATTATTTCTCGTAAAAAATTTCTAATTTTAACTTTTCCATTTTACAAAAAACCGTCGATCATCTCTAAAAATGTAATAATGATAATGTATCAAACTAAAAATAGAATTTCGATCTTTGAATTTTAAAAATATATATATATATGTTACATGAATAATGTCTTCTAATTTACTATGAAATTTAATACCGACTTTATATATATTTTTATATTGTGTCTATATTGTATATTTAAATGTTTCGGAGTTTGAAAACAAGATTTAATTTATTGTAGCTGAAAAGATGTTGTAATTTGTTCTTCTGGGAACGAATTCAAAGAAAAATGTATTGGAATTTTTAGGAGTATATGATAATTAAAATAAAGTATAATAAGAAAAAGAAATGAAATAGTCATTATTGTCCATATAAAGAACTAAAGAAAAGTTATTAGTAACATTGATGCAATTGAACATCGAATCAAAACTCGCCGTTATAACTATGTTTCGGAAAATCCCCCGTTTATCAATTTCTGTTGTTATATCATTTTCAATTAATTCAATTAATGATAGATGTCACACACGTTTTATATTTTTTTTATTTGTTTTGTGTACACAGTAAACTTTAATGGTTAATAGATTTTCTATCTCGTGAAAGTAAATGCCAAATACGGAAATACTTTACCAAATGCAAAAATTCAAATCGCACGCGTCATTATTTATTTATTGCCATTTTAACATCAGATTATCAAATATTGTTGTTTAAAAATTTTTTTATGTAAGAAAAATAAATAATAAATTTAATAATTTTAAAAAAATTCCAATTATGTTAAACATTCTCCTTTTATATCCCGAGACAAAAAATATTAATAGTATTTTTTATTTTTTTATTTTATTTAAAAGCCGAGAAGATTTCAATTAAGGAAGTTTCTATTCCTTTTAAATAATATTTTTTCAAGCAAAATAAATAAAAAAACTTAATCTTAATTAAACTTAATTAAATTATAAATAATATATAAAAATGAATAAAAATAATAATACATATATGTTAACTTATTAATAACTGTGGTGACAAAAGCGATAATGGTGACAAAGATACGGTTGAGAAGTCCGGTAAAGCAGAAGAGGGAGAACACGTACGTATATTGTATTTAAAATATAATTACTAATAATTACTAATAATAATTACTAATAATAATAATAATAATAATAATAATAATAATAATCTGTTACTATTGTTATGTTTAAGATTTAAGATTTATGATTAAGATTAAGATCTTACTACACATATACATATATTTTTGTCCTTACCATATAATTTATATAAAAAATATTTCATAATTGTTTTTATTGAATATAAAAACTTGTAATTCTATATATTAATACTAATATTATACAACGACGACGACAACGACACAAACAACAATAATAAATATTTTGTTTATGTATGAATACAAATGATAAATAATAAATGAAATTATACAATGAAGAAGATATTATACAAAAATAAAATTAAGAAAAAATAATAATAATAATCTATTTTTATAAATTGATAAATGTTTATGCGTAAATTAGAAATAAAAATTTGTTTCAAAATTTAAATGGTCTGAATCATCGTCGATATTGTCACCATTATCATTATTAATATTGTCGCAATTAGGCGTAGTAGCTTGTATTGGGATTGATATTATTGGTGATGATGTTGACGAATTAGATGCAGGAATATTATTAAAACTGTTTAATAAATCACTTATTTGGTCATGTGATGGTGTCGTAATAGCAATTTGTGGCGATATTGGTGTTGTTTGCAATGAGAAATTTGGAGACCAAGATCCCGAAAGAAATGAAAACCCCAATTCCGATTGCTGTTGTTGTTGTGATTGAATTTGTTGATTTTGAAAAGAAGTCGAAGATCCAGATGTAGAATGAGGTAATGGCGGAGTTGGAATAAGAGAATGAAAAGTAAATTGTTGTGGTTGTGATGATGATAAGGCTGAAATATTAGCCGATGATGATGATGGTGATGATGATGTAAGTGTTGAGTCAGACATGTATGTAAAGTCTACAGGATCATCTCGATGAAATGTATGTTTATTTGGGTCATGGGAAAGTCTCATCACAAAACGACCGGGAATATGTTGCTGACTTTGATTAGGCAATCTTTTTTTACTTTTCAAAGAGTTTTGACTTAGTTGTAACTTTCTTTTTTTCACATTTTGATCTTTTGATTGTTTGGTCGATTTTTCAATTGTTCCTGAAGTAGAAGAAGACGAAGGAGAAGACGACGAAGAAGAGGGAGAAGAAACGACGTTGGAGTCAATGTTTGTAGCGTCACCAGCATCACCAACATCAGTGACTGCAATTGCGGCAGTGGTTGTAGTAGGAGTGGCAGTAGTTGATGATTCAAAAGCATCTAAAGTGTTATTATTAGAGGTGCCGTCAATATTTTCTAGTGGGAAGTCTAAAAGAAAGTCAAATTTTTGTTGATCAATTGAAGGAGTTGGAGGATAGGTGAAAGGTGGAGATGTAGAAGCGGAAGGTAACAAAGTTAAATTATATATAATGTTATCTAAACTGTTATTACCATTACTATTTAAAGCATGTATGTAATTTGCGTTGTTATTGCTTTCAATTGATTCAAATATATTAACAATATCTTCAAGTATTGTCCATATATATTTTTTAGAATGTTCTTCATCATTGCTGCCGTTGTTACCAAGCATTTTTAAATGAATCAAGAGTGCTTTGCATATATCATTATTACTAATACCACCAATATTGTTATTATTATTATTATTATTATTATTGTTATTGCTAAAGTTCAAACTGTCAGAGAATTTATTTAATTTGCTCCATAATTGACGTAAAATGGTTATTTGCGAGTGCGAAGTATTGAAATCAATTAATAGATTAAAGATTAGCATTTCGAATTCGTGTTGCCTGCATTCTTTGTTATCGCTAATAGAACTACCAGTAGTTGTATTATTAAGAAAAGCGTCGGTGACTTGTTTTAATTGATTCTCCATTGGTTTAATTCGTTCGTTTAAAATCTTATCGACTACTGAAATATCAATTAAGGTTGGTGTTGAATTTGAAATTGAATCTGTAATTAAATATGAGTTTGAATTATTGGAGTTTGGATTTGAGTTAGGATGGTTAATATTATTATTACAATTGGGATTTATATTGCTTGATAATAATTTTTTATTGTTTTTTCTTCCGGATGGAGAGTAATTACATTTATGATTTTGAGACAGACAATTAGAACATGAAGAATTTGTTAAAAAATCTCCATCACACTTTTTCTTAATTTTTTGACAATTGTTACAAGCTTTTAAAGCAATTTTTCGAGGTTTAACAACCACAGATGACACAGATGATTTACTGGCGTGATCATCATTTTTCTTGCTATCGTTTGCCGCTCCAATTAAAACATCCCTCTCTCCGACAAAATTTTCTTGTTGTTGTTTCCGATATGTGTTCTCATTTTTGAATGACATTGTGATATTGCCACCGGATTGAGTAAAACTTGACCAAAATAAAATAAAAATAATTTAAAATTTTTACTTGTTATAATTTTTTGGAAAGTTTTTTGTTAAGTTTCAAAAGTTTACTAAAAATATTTTTGAGTAAAGTGTAAATTGATTTTTTATAAGTTTAATAAAAAAATTTTTTTTTTTCAATTGTCCTTTGATTTTTTTTTTTTTTTTAAAATGAAAAGAATTCAACTATTTATAAAAGTTGAATGTGATTACGAATCTAGAAAAAAAAATTAATTTGTTGTAACACAAAAAGGACTTGTTATTTTTTTTCTATTTTTAAAAATTCTTGTTCTTGTTGTGATTTGTGATAGATATATATTTCAATCAATTCATTCACTAATAAATTTAACAAATAAATTATACTATTCAGATAATATGTATGTATAGTCGTATATCAACAATAGTCAATTTTCTTCCGAAATGAATTAAAAAAATTTTTTTTTTTTACGAAATACTCAATTTTCTGGTTTTCCAACTTGAAAGATAAAATATATTTGTATTTTATAATTTATTAATATTAATATTAGATAAGCTTAAAAACGCTTACTAATTCTTTGCGATGTTATTAAACGTTTATTACCATGCCCAATTTTGTTTATATGCATATTAAATAAATTATTACTATTACAACTAAATGATTTAGAATAGTAACTTCATATTATATATATATGAATATATAATAACAATGATCGAATAAAAAAAATAAATAGAAATAATTAATTAATATGCTATTTTTGGAGAAAAGCATCTCAATAGATATATGTAGATATATATAGATATATTATATTAACATGTATGCAAATAACTTGAATGCAAAGATCAATACAATCAATTAATTGATTAGAAGAATGCACTACAAAATAAATAAATAATTCTTTGCTCTTTTTTTCTTCTCCAATTCTTCTTTCAAAGCCTTGGTTACATTCTTTGTTAACCTAGTAAGATGGAAGGTTTCATTCTGGCCGGAATTATAGGAGTATAAAATTTTGCAATGTTGATGGTAATTCGCTACGTCATTATTATAATGTTAATTAATCTTGCCTTATTTCAATCTCATTAAAGTAATATGAATATTATTTTAGGTCAAATCGTATATACACCAAATAAATTAATCGAAAAAGAAAAATATACAAGTTATGAAATTTTTAAAAAAGTAAATTTTTATTTTTGTAAAAGCCGAATTGAAAATTTTGGTTTTTTTTTCTTAAAACAAAAATAACCAAAATAAAGATTTAGTACCGACAATAAATTGTTTGCTATCTTGTTTGTAAAAAAACAAAAAAAAAAAAAAAAAAACAAATAAATCTGGTGAACATTGAATGATGAAAGTGATGTGTTTTTGTTTATAAGCGTACGATCATCGTAACCAAATGTGATCTGAAACCTGCATTTAATCTGAGGCTTCTAGAATGAAAATCAATAATAGGTTGTCCAAGTGTACCAAGAAAATTCCGAAATAGGATTGTTCTGTGCATATTTTTTCTAGAAGAATTATTTTTATATATCCAAGCCACATCAAATTGTGTGGCAAATCAGCTAGTGTGGCTTTAAATTTACCAAATTACTATTGTGGCTTCATCAACATTCGCAATACGAATTCCGAAAATTGAAAGACAATTATTATAATAAAAAGGTCACAAGTCATGTCATGTATATATTATTAATCGTTTATAATAGGAATGAATAATATTTATTATTTATTATTTATGCATATTTTCGAGTATTAATTTGGGTTGTATGCATTTTTTGTTTATCGGGAATAAAATAAGGTGAATAATTCAATGTATATATGAATTGTATGAAATAACTAATTTTTGTTTGTTAAACTTTTTTAATTTCTTAATTTCTTGAAACGAGTTCATTTTGCCAAATTAGAACGGAGTTTTAAATCCCTAGGCATTCATCGTTATTTCCCCTTTCCCCTTGTATTTCGATTTTATATTAATTAACATTATTAATTATTACATGTGGTTAAATTATCACTTTTTTTGAAAAAAGCCTAAATATATTCATTACATATATGTGCATGATGCTTAATTAGAAATTCTCCATTTCCAGAATTTATTTCTTTCAAAGCTTGCCTCCTCCCTCCCCATATTGTTTTTTTATAAATCTCATGACAGATGGACACCGGTCCATTGGTGTAACATTAATCATTTAAATATTAGTGGATATGGACCAATTCGTTGTTCTCAATGGGCCCGGTTTATTATCAAATAATCTATTTATATAATTTCTATAGTACGTTCCCTCAAAACATAATAATATTCGTTAGTATATTTTTAAAGATTTATATGTGCGGTTTTGTAACACAACATTGGCAAGAAAACACCTCACGTGTTACAATAAATATTTATATTAGAGTATGGTCTTGATTTTTTTATTTTAATAAGCGTTTCTAAGAAATGTGGCGCAGTAGTTTAATTCTCTAATTAAAAAAGGAGGCCCTCATGAGACTTTGTACGATTCTAAATGAATACATTCTATGGTAAAAAGGGGGGGAGGGGAGAGTTGTGCATTGTAAATAATTTTAAATTAATAAATGTCACAACAAGATTACGTCGTTAAAAAAAAAAAAATAATTCTAATAAGCGCTTCTTGTTTCTGTTTTTTTTTTTTTTTTAATCACTCAATTATTCTTCTTTTATTTGACTCAATTCAATTTATATTACTTCAAAGTCTTGAATAATTTCTTTTTGCTTTGCTATTTCAAACTAACTCTTTTATCTTGGTTCGTTCGTTATTTTTCCTATCATCTCTCGTTTGAGTAGTAGCATCATTCTTTAATTTTCTAAGTGCTTGCTTCTCTTTTTTTTTTCATTTTGTTCGTTATTATTATCTATATCTAGTTGCTTTTTTCTTTTCATTGTCTAATTTTTTTAAGATAACTTTGGTATTTTGGCTTTATTGCCAATAATTTTAGCCCTCTTTTTAAATGAATTTTTTATTTATTACATTATTCCCATATCTTTCCATGGCATACAAATGAAATTTTCTAATCCTATTTGTTCTCTTTCTAATTACTTTATTACTTTCTAAATTGACTACGGTTTGGAGAAGCCTCTCTCTGCTGATTTAAAAGATATTTTCGGAGAGTTATCATATTCTCATTTATCCACTTCATCCAAGAAAATTTTTTATCTCAATCTGTCCTTCTTCGCCTTCCGTTCCATAAAGAATAATAAATAATTCGGGAAACTTGTTCTTTCTCTATAATTTTACTTTTCATATCCATCCATGAAACTTACAAAGTATTTTGAAGAATGAATAAGGTGAGAAATTTCTCTTTACATTTTCAAAATAAATGATACTAAAACTACTAAAATCCTAACCAATAAAAGGGTTTAACACAAACCTTTGAAACAACCAGAAAGAACGAAAGATGCTAGAATAATAATAGTCATAATCAAACATGTAAGTTATTCTGCGCCAGTTTTGGACAATTAACATCTTTGAATTCATTTCTGACAAATGAACCAATATTATTATAATGGTATGGAGTGGGTGTTGATATTGGAAACAATAAAGCTTTAATATCTTTTATGCTTTGAAAAATATATTTTTCTAATAAAAAGGTTCATTGTCATTTTTACAACACCAGAATTAGAAGCTGTAAAAAGGAAATTTATGCTACAAAAACCTTTTCCATTGAGTTTTATTCAGTCTAGAAGTGCTAGATCTTTTTACAATGTCCACAACCTCATCCACAGAATCTGAATTTGTCTTTCGATGTAATTTCTTGATGAATCCAAATCTACCATCCATCATATTTGAATTTGGAATGTCCAGAAATAATTCAATGCTTTCATAGTAACCACAAATTATTAGATATCAGGATCATCTTCAAATGCTTTAACTTCACAAATATACCATTAGGACCCTTTCATCTTCATTAAAATATAGTTAATTGGTTCTTTGAATGTATTGAACTAAGATAATGGGTTTTACTTGCCTGTTTAATAGAATGTAGTACATGGACATCTTGGAATGTAATGAGCAGTAGCATCAATACTGCGATGCCATATCTTACGGACACATGAAAATGACGGGGACGGGCAAGTGGAAAGGCCCCACGCAATTCAGAAATTCCTTTTTTGAGGGACAACCACATTTGCAACCCTTCAGTATTCACTGCTCTTCATATATGTATATATATATATTATATTAATGAAATTTAATATTTAAAAAATTTTAAAAATTATTCTTACAAGACTTTTGTTCGTTATAACAAGATTCGATTGAAATCCTTCAAAATCAAAATCCAAATCTCACATTTCAATTATATTCATCTGATGATTTTACAAGGGAACAATTGTTTATTGCAAGGATTAACCAAATTAATCAATGAATTATAACACATAACATATTATTGCCAACTAAACTCGGTTAAGGAAAAATAACTGTCTACCAGCCTAAACAATCGTACAATAAAGTTAGTTCAATTCTAAACAAAAAAATCATAGTAATATCACTAACCTTAATAAATGATGATGATGATGATGATAATAGTTTATCGCGTAGAGCCAAAGAATAAAATACTTATTTTCATAAGTTGATATTCCTACCTTGCAGCCTAGTTAAATAAATAAAATTTAGTCATGTAACTGGTACGCATAAAAGAAATCCAAATGTATAAAAAGCTATTTGTAATATTTAATTAATGATGCAATGTAAGCCTGCAGAAAAACCTTGACCGGTTAAGCCAAACAACTATTGGATAAATCCCAGTTGATGAAAAAAATTCGCCGCCACTATTACTATTTAATGGTTTGAATAAAACGAATAAAACGAATAATAATAATTTGATAAGAATTTGTCTATTACTATTGCTTTCTTTATTATCATCTTTTTCCTCTGTCATTCTAGTAATGCAGATGTACCCATCTCAACCAAGTGTCTATGCCACTGAATTCTGCACTAAAATTCCAGACGTAAGAGAAAATGTTTTTTAGCCGGCT